ACAGGCACGCACCACCATGCCCAGCTAATTTTTTGTATTTTTAGTAGAGACGGGGTTTCACCATGTTGACCAGGATGGTCTCGATCTCTTGACCTCATGATCCACCTGCCTCGGCCTCCCAAAGTGCTGGGATTACAGGCTTGAGCCACCGTGCCCGGCCCAAATGCAAATTTTGAAAAAGTTGTTTTTTCTTTTTAAGACAGTCTCATTCTGTCGCCCAGCCCGGAGTGCAATGGTGTGATTTCTGCTCACTGCAACCTCTGCCTCCTGGATTCAAGCAATTCTCCTGCCTCAGCCTCCTGAATAGCGGGGATTATAGGTGCCCACTACCATGCCTGGCTAATTTGTTGTGTTTTTAGTAGAGACGGGGTTTCGCCATGTTGGCCAGGCTGGTCTTAAACTCCTTACCTCAGGTGATCCACCCACCTCTGTCTCCCAAAGTGTTCGGATTAAGGTGTGAGCCACTGTGCCCAGCCTCAAAATTTTAATTTTTGCTTGAAAGTTAGAATTTTTTTTTTTTTTTTTTTTTGGAGAGGAAGTCTTGCTCTGTTGCCCAGGTTGGAGTACGGTGGCGCCATCTTGGCTCACTGCAACCTATGCTTCCTGGGTTCAAGTCCCAGCCTCTCGAGTAGCTGGGACTACAGGTGTACACCACCACACCCGACTAATTTTTGTATTTTTAGTAGAGATGGGGTTTCACCATATTGGTCAGGCTGGTCTTGAACTCTTGACCTCAGGTGATCCATCCACCTCAGCCTCCCAAAGTACTTGGATTACAGCTGCAAGCCACTGCTCCCAGCTAAAAGTTAGAATTTTATCCTTGGCAACAAATACTATCAATTGTTTTCCTTCAAGTGACAGACTCACTTCTCATTTTTCTTTTTTTTTTGAGACAGGGTTTCACTCCATCACCCAGGCTGGAGTGCAGTGGTGTGATCTCAGCTCACTGCAACCTCCACCTCCTGGGTTTAAGTGATTCTTGTGCCCTGGCCTCCTGTGGAGCTAAAATTATAAGCACATGCCACCACACCTGCATAATTTTTTAAATTTTAGTAGAGATGAGGTTTCAACATTTTGGCCAAACTCCTGGCCTCAAGTGATCCACTCACCTCAGCCTCTCAAAGTGTTGAGATTACAGTCATGAGCCACTGCATCTGGCCCTCACTTTTCTCATTTTTGAGAAAATGGCTGCCAAATACCCACATCTGAATAACCACAGCTTGTCAGTGGTTCTATCAAAAACAGTGTTGTTCCACAAAAAAAGGAGCTAGTTCATAGCACAATTCAAATAGTCGCACATATCATTTTTCTAGAGACAATTGCATGCCCAGAGGTCCTGTGTATTTCCTCTTTCCCATTCCAACGAAATACTAAAAAGATGTGGACTCAAGGGCTAAGAATTGATAAAATGAACAATTCTATGTGGCTTCATCAAGGATTTTTTTTTTTTTTTTGAGACGGAGTTTCGCTCTTGTTACCCAGGCTGGAGTGCAATGGCACGATCTCGGCTCACCGCAACCTCCGCCTCCTGGGTTCAGGCAATTCTCCTCCCCC